CCATTACAAATCGGTGGACATTTAAATTCAAAAAGAAAGTTGAAGAGAAAGTCTTATCAGTGAAACACCCTACTAGTGAGAATCAATTAGGTGACATTTTAACGATAAACTAAAGATTTAGGAGGGAATGTTAAAATAAATATAGTTACCTATTCAATTTATTGTAACTATGATACGATAAAAAAATACTTAGTTCATCTGTCATAATTATACAATATACATGTTTTCAGTTTATTGCTCATCATATGATGGACCAGTTGGCAAAGCTGATAGACCAGTTGACAAAGCACTTGGACCAGTTGGCAAAGCTGATGGACCAGTTGGCAAAGCAGTTGGACCAGTTGGCAAAGCTGATGGACCAGTTGGCAAAGCAGTTGGACCAGTTGGCAAAGCTGATGGACCAGTTGGCAAAGCACTTGGACCAGTTGGCAAAGCTGATGGACCAGTTGGCAAAGCAGTTGGACCAGTTGGCAAAGCTGATGTACCAGTTGGAAAAGCTGATGGACCTGATGGACAAAGCCGTTGGATAGCTGTTGGACCGGTTCTATTAACCAAGATGGTAATCCAATGGTTGACGGTTCGAATCCGTTCCATTTAATAAAAAATTTTCAGGAGTTTCGATATAAATACAACTATCCAAGCAATATACCATAATAGTCTAATTAGCTCAGTGGTTATGCTATAGGACTTGTAATCCTATGGTTGACGGTTCGAATCCGTTCCATTTAAAAAAAATTTCAGGGTACGAAGGGGTCGAAGTTTGAGGATTCCAAGATGGCGTCCAAGAACTTGAGGATTCCAAGATGGCGTCCAAGAACTTGAGGATTCCAAGAACTTGAGGATTCCAAGATGGCGTCCAAATGACGCCTGCGCAAAGGGGCGGGGCGCGCATGCGCACATCCAAACTGCTCTAAAAACACCCAAATGAACCTTAGAATTTCCCATAAGAAATAACATAGGATTTCGACCAAAAGTGGGCTCGAACTCTCCTAGCCTATCTACTGTGTAGCTCGGGGTGTTCCCCTAGGTCCGCTGTTATTTTGCATATATTTACCTAAATTACAACAAATGACGTAAATATACCAAAATAGCATTTTTAGAATTTCATACTTAGGCCAGTTTGACCGCCATCAACAAGATCTTGTTTCAAGGCTACCACATCAATTTTGTAGGTACTCGCTTTCGACGTCTCGTTCACTCACAATTCGCGTTTAAAGTTTTGGGTCCATCATCAGTAAGATCTTGTCGGGGGCAAGCACATTTCCTTTGTCGGTACCCACTTACGACGTTCCGTTCACTCGCAATTCACGTTTGAAGTTTTGACTCCACCATCAGTGTTGTTCAAAGAAAATGTCAAAATTCATCTAAATTAAAAATTTGCTTAATCTAGATAAGATAAAGATTAAAATGCTCTTGTAATATCTAGATAAAGATAAAAAAGGAAATTATCTTTAGATAAAAATCGAGATAATTTACTATGAATGCTTATATACCGGGTGTTCTAAAATTGACGTACAATTTCTCACCCGCAATTCTGGCTTGAAGTTTTGACTCCAAAAGGTACCTTATTTTTACAAATAAATTTGCAAAATGCGCTAGAAATGGTATTTGCAGATGTGATCTAATAAGTAATAATCAAAATAGTTTTAAAGATTTTATTTATAAGGCTCGTTGGTCGTTTCAATCCCTTGTAACAACATGGCCACTTTTGCAGATATTGGTTCCGAGTTAAATTTCTTATACTATAATCTTGTTTCTGTATTATGTATTATTAAAGACATGTCCTTTGTTTAATCAAAAATATCAAACGTATACACAAATTAAGAGAAAAGGCTTTAAGAGTCCGGAAAGTCCGGAACATTGGAACTATTTTAAACTTCTACGTAACACTTTGGTACCGCATTAAAGGCCGCATTTTGACCATAATTAGGTATATCTAAAAAGTACGATACCAAAAGATCGGTGGAAAACGTATAAATATTACTGGGTGTACTGATCCGTAGGCCAGAAAGACCGTACACAAAACACCAAAACAAAAACCTAGCTAGCTCTTTCCCTTTTATTTATTATCATGACACACAACTTCTCCTCAGCACAGAGGAAAGATTCGACTCTGCTCTCAGTTAACTTCTAACAGATAGTGGTTCAGACCAAATACCTTAAACTCCATACTGAACTTCAAAATGTTGAATAATTAAAATGGACCTTGGGCAAGCATTCAACAAAAACACAGTTGAATTATTAATGAAGTCGTTAGAATGAAACACACGGAAAATTGATGTGAAAATTACAAAAGTGCGATTTAATCTTAACAAACAACAGGAAAATGGTACAAAAACACAAACAATTATTACAAAAAGACTAAAATGAAGACTACTTACATTACTTGTCCGGGAATTGAAATATCCAAATAAAAGGTACCTATCCTTAGGTACACAGTTCACATTTTTTAAGAATTAAACAAATGTGCTATTGTTTGCGTTTTGTCCGCCCGTCCGTCCGTCCGTCCGTAAGTCCATTCGGGCCCGCTTCTGCGGTTTTAAACTACTTTTAGGGGAATGGTCCTAGACCTGCAATTTTTTACAATACGTAGCTTATACCTTGAAGGAGTGCTAGACGACCATCAAATTTCGCTGTCAAGGGGGGGGGGGGGG